TGATGAAGACGACGAGGGACCTTGACCCCGTGCCCCAGTTCGCCCGGCCACTCTTCGATGCCGTACGTCGGGGTCACGAGGTACAGCATAGAAAGAGGAGTTGGGACGCCGCGTGGCTGTCTTGGCTGGAGCAGCACTTGCTCCCTGCCCGCCCTGCGCGCCGGCCCGTCTTTGTCTCTCCGCGGTAGTGGCGATGATGATGATGATGGCGATTAGCTGTGATGCGTGGGTTATTATCGGATTAGTGCCGGAGCGAAAGAGGTCATTCTGGGCGTGTCGAGCCGCCTGTGTGAAATACACAAAGTGCAAGATTCTGTTCCCACTGTATCCCCCCTCCCTCCCTCTGCTCCACCATGTCTCCCTCCTCCCCCGTGTCCCCATACTACCCCGTATCCCTCATTCTCCTTCGTCTCAGCCCTCCCCCCACCCGTGTCCCCTCCAATTCTCCCCGTGAACCCCCTTTCCATTCGTCCCCCCTCCCTTCTTTCTCATGCTCCCTACCTTCTCCCCAGCGTCTTCCCTCTTCCCCTATGTCTCCTCTCTTCTCAACCGTGCCCCCCCTTCCCCTCTTTGGCTTCCCTTCCCGGTGCCCCCCACCCACCCACCCCGCAATGGTGCTGCGGGCATTGCGTCTTCTCTCCTCCTCCGTGCTGAGCCACCCGGCCAGGCACCTCGCAGAGGCGCTCAGAGCCGTACTCGGCTGTAACCTACCCGGCGAGGGAAACCCCTAACGGTCTAACGGTGGCGAGATAGTAATAGGTTTTTACCCTTTTAACTGGTAGGCTCTAAAGAAAGCTGTCTCGAGTGTGGACCAATCAACTTCAAGGACAGTGCATATCTTCATCATCAGAGTTGTTTCTTTTTGTTTGCATTTTGACTTCTTGTGTTGAGGTTATTGCAAACATGATGCCTTGTATAAAGGTGTCAGATTTTGTACCAGTTAAAAGGGTAAAAACCTATTACTATATTTTGCCACCGGTAAAGGAGATCTCATAGTCCGGTGGCAAGATGTTAACTACCTCGCCTGTTTTTTTGTATTGGGTGCAATTGTGAACAACAGCCATATCAGACAGTACATCTAATAATTGGCATACTCATTGGTGCACTGCAGCTCAAAGACTCACCCCTAGAGGCGTGCGGTGAAGTTTGAATATGTCCACGTGCTCGGCATTTGAAGGCCCAGAGACCGAGATCGGTGATTTCGCCGACAATGTGTTCAGGGAGGCAGTTCCATATCCGGACAGCAGAGTGTAGAAGGGAGCTTTTGTCCAGGGAGCAATGTTCTGGCAACTGGGGGCGGGGGGGGGGGCAAGTGAGTGATTTGAAGGGGGTTGTATACATTTTGGGGTGTAGCATGGCCTGATGGTCTGTGGTGGGGGGGGGGGGGTGATGGTTGGTGTGTATTTTGTACAGGGACCGTGACAGCAGCAACTTGTGAAAGGTGTTGCTGGCTGTGGATGGTGAGTTGTGTGCTGGCGGTGGCTTCATCAACACCAATTATTTTCAATGCCTTCCCCTGGATGTAGTCGAGAAGGTTGAGGTGATTTGGTGGGGCGTTCATCCAGCACAAAAAGGCGTGCTCCATGACACCGCGGACTTGAGCTTTGTAGACTCTGGCTCGGCCCTCTGTGTCAAGTTTATTGGCCACCTTTCTCAGTTCTAGATTTGAAGCTTTCGTGACGTGCAATGATTCATACTCTTAGGTTTTTTCGGTAAAATAATATTTTTTTCTTTTATTTTTATTATTTATATTTTTCCTACGTGACTTTACCGAAAAAACCTAAGAGTACCTTTCTTAATGAGCTCAGTTTCTGTCCTGCTCTGATGGAGATGTTGGTGAGATGTTTGGACCACGTCAGCTTGCTGTCACTGGTGACACTGACAATCTCGAGCTTGTCGGTTGATGCGAGTTGACAGTCACCTAAATGCAGATCCAGCTTGGATGAAAATCTCTTCTGAAATCGTGTCATGGTCTGGCACTTTGTTGGTTCGAAGGTCCATTTGTCTGCCCAGGTGGTCATTTGATGAAGATCCCTGGTTCAGGCTAGGCTGTCACTGCGTTGCTTTCTGCAGATACAGATACAATTGATTTAGAATTGCTCTGTGAGTGAAGAAGCAAAAAGACTGTAAAATTAAAGACGTTTGCAACAGGTCGCATAAAAAATATGAATACAATAAATACCGCAATGAAAAAAGTCAGCAAATAAAAAAAATGTACAATATATTACTTGATAATTGTTTTTTACCCTTTTATCTGGCAACAAAACTGACACCTTTTTTTACTAGGAGTTATGTTTGCATTGACCACAATACCTGCAGTCGGAATGCAAACAAAAAACATAACTCTGATAATGTATGCATTGTCCTTGAAATTGATTGGTCCACACCCGAGACAGCTTTCTTAGAGCCTAGTCTCACATGGTGTTGGACCAGATGACGAATGATGAATTACATATGTAACTATTTAACAACAGGTCTGACGCTGTCTTTCCGACAGACCTGTTCTTCACCTGAGGACGGCTGCTTGCGTTGTAGCCGAAACGTCGTGAGAATTATTTTATGATCTTCTTGGTTCTTTCGGTAAAGTCACGTAGAAGGGAAGTAACAAAATAATAAAAATAAAACATAATAAAACAATTCTCACGACGTTTCGGCCACAACGCAAGCAGCCGTCCTCAGGTGAAGAATGAGACAATGCCAAGCTAGGAGCTTATATATAAGCTGCGTTGGCGGTGGAAGAAAGGGCGCCTTAACAAAAGAATGTGCATATGAAGAGGAATTTAGCATATACATGGAAAATGCGTAGGAGGTGGGCGGGGGGGTTTCAAAGTCATATTATGCCCATGCATTATGCAGGATCAACAGCACCAAGGGGGGGTGCAGGGATTAGCAGTAACAAAGGAAAGGAATGTTAATGATATGTAGCTGCAGTTACTCAACAACCACGTAGAAAACTAAAGTATAAACTACATAAAAAACTAAAGTATTAATTGCATAGCACCATCAGTATACTTACTATACTCTACACTAAGCTGAGTTACTAACAGCAAGTAATACATTACAATTCTACGTCGTAAAAATTATATAATATGCTTCCATTTAAACTTTATTCTATTGTATCACACGAGCATATACCGTACTATATACTGCCAACATTAAATTATATACTGTATTGTTCTAAACCAACCTATACCTTATACATTTAATATAACACTATGTATTATTCTACCCACCCTAATGTGTGTCGAAATGGTTTATTACGTCCTTCCAATGATTGCTAAGCCAGAATCCATCTTCTCGGTTAAAATTGTCTCTGTGTTTGTATATGTGGATCGCCTCATGAACGAATCTCTCATGATGTTTTATTTTTATAATTTTATTATTTCCCTTCTATGTGACGAAGGAACCAAGAGGATGAATCCCTGCAGTCACGAAAGCTGTACATCGAAACCTGCAGGTTATCTTATTGGAGCATAGAGGGTTGAGTCGTCAGCGTTGAGGTAGAGCCGTTTCTCGCAGACATCGATCGGGTCGTCAATGAAGATGGGGAAGAGAAGTGGACCGATAACTTAGAATTGATCTTTGTGGCTCTGAGGCCTGGCCGGACAAGACAACTCTGATGGATCTGTTGGAGATCGCTCTGTAGCCAGTTTGGCACGTAGGCCGTTGTGCCACACTTTGTCAAAGGCTCATTTGATGTCCAGAACTGTGACACAGACTTGTCCAGGGAGGTGTTCCATCCCTGAGAGAAGACATTCTGAAGGTCCGCTTGTGCTGTGACCTGGTCTGAATCCAAACTGCCTGTAGGAGATCTGGTTGTCGTTGAGCATGTACCTTTGAAGTTGATTTTTCACTGATGCCTCCATGGCCTTGCTAATGATGCTGAGCAGAGATGTGGGGCGTTTGATGGGTCGGCTTTGGAGTTCTTCTTGTGTATTGGGATTACTGAGGGCAGCTTCCATTGGTTTGGGAATACTCCACTTGAGAAGCAGCAGTGGAAGAGGCGATGTTTCGGGCAATGGTCCTACTTCAAAGCACATCAATGGAGAAGGGCCATTGCTTGAAACGTCGCCTATTAGATACTTGTTTCTTTTTAAAGGCCACAACATAATTGACACGCACGATGAGTCTTTTTGTAAATAGATTATAAATCGATTAATCGAAAATAAATAACAATTTTAAAATTAATACATATTTTCGATTCATCAATCAATCAATGTCATACAGGACAGTATGCTGAAATCGATCACGAATTTTTACAGCGCATCGATTCCCGCAGATGTGACTTTGATCTCATCGATTAATCATTCGATTAATACTGCGATTAATCGATACCTCGAGTACCACGTATTCTATTGGGGGGGGGGTGACGGGGGCTGTGAGGGGGGGGGGGGGAGGAGGTTGTGAGAGGGGGGGGGGGCTGTGAGAGGGGGAGGGGGGCTGTGTGAGGGGGGGGGGAAGGGGGTTGTGAGGGGGGGAGGTTGTGAGAGTGGTTGTGAAGGGAGGGGGGCTTTGAGGGGGGGGCTGTGAGGGGGGGGGCTGTGAGAGGGGGGGGGCTGTGAGGGGGGGGGGCTGTGAGGGGGGGGGCTGTGAGAGGGGGGGCTGTGAGAGGGGGGGCTGTGAGGGGGGGGCTGTGAGGGGGGGGCTGTGAGGGGGGGGGCTGTGAGAGGGGGGGGGCTGTGAGAGGGGGGGGGCTGTGAGAGGGGGGGGGCTGTGAGGGGGGGGCTGTGAGAGGGGGGGGGCTGTGAGGGGGGGGCTGTGAGAGGGGGGGGCTGTGAGAGGGGGGGCTGTGAGAGGGGGGGCTGTGAGAGGGGGGGCTGTGAGGGGGGGGCTGTGAGAGGGAGGGGCTGTGAGGGGGGGGAGACTGTGAGGGGGGAGGGGCTGTAAGGGGGGGGCTGTGAGAGGGGGGGGGGCTGTGAGGGGGAACACGACGCTGCGTGACGTCACGCACCACGTGCTTGTTCGCGAGCCAATCAGTGGGACGCGGCCCGCCAATCCCAACCGAGGCCTTCAGTCCAGGCTTCGCCATCACCAGGGCAACACGGGGGCGAGCGAGGCCGAGCCGGGGCGAGAGCTTCTAGAACAGTTTAAAGTGTAACCCGGACGGATTAATCATCAAGGCGATAAGCAGCGGCCTCTACTGCCTCCTCGACATGCGCACGGTGCTCATGGTGGCGGAGAAACCGTCTCTGTCTCAGTCAATAGCGAAGATCTTGTCGCGAGGTGACCGCTTAGGCCTCCCCCCCCGTTCACTCGCCATTGTCGGTCTCATTCATTGCCCACCGCCTGCCACGGCCCTTATCCACTGCTGGATGAAGGTCTACACCACTGGCCGTGTTGTCCGCTGCTGCATGAAGGTCTACACCACTGGCTGTGTTGTCGGTCCTGGCCGTGTGGTCGTACCAGCGCGGGTTCGGTGAAGATCGGTGGGGGGAGGGTGGGTGGTGGTGGTTGTGAGTGAGCCGTGGGAATTGTCTTAAACTCGTTCACATGTCATTTAGATGACACTCGCCACTGATGTTAGCCGTGGCTTGGACCGAGTCGTTGCATTGCAAGCGGCAGCCGCCCACTGTGTGCATTGTCGAACTTCTGTCGCGCCGCGCGTAGCCGATCGATAAGATGCGGCGGGGGGCAGTCAAAAAGTGTTTCCACTGCTGGATTGGGGGGCCACTGTTGGATGGGGGGGCTACCCGAGGTCGTGTTGGCAGCTGGGGTTGATTGATTCCTCCAAGTTAGCAAAGCTGGTCAATGTTGACGAGGCGTGATAGGGGGAGCGATAAGGACCGCTTCGGATATGTCTTGCCATCGATGTTAAGTCCTTGGGGTAATGCGCTAAACGCTCAAACTCGCCATCGTGTGTGTTGTTAACTATCATCTCGGTTCAATACGTTTGATGCTACAGCGTTAACTATTAACACTACATTCGCTACTATGGGTACGGTACAGAGGTTGTTCTCAGGATGCACTTGTCACGGCCAGAGTAACGTGGAATGTCGACATTACTATGCCACGAGTAATCGCATCTATGAGCGATTTGGTGATGCAATTGGTTACGCATTGCGCTACGAACCCGGCGACTTGAGTTCAATTCCCGGCCACGGTGAACATCAGAGGCGAATGATATCTGAACCGGACCCCAGCCCTTACCAGTCACCACTTCAGAATCCCCACACAGACCACCGTGACGAAGTATGGCCAAACAATATCTCGTGAAACGTAACTCCGTCAATTTACAACCGCAGGTTTAGCTATTAACGCTACATTCAGAGCCGTGGATGGACATGTCACTGTCATAGGAATGTGGCATTTTCACCACTGGCTCTGGAGATGGACACCTCGGCACACTGGTTTGAGTGGGGAAGCCTTGCTTACCTTAATTTTGATTACATTTACGAGAAAGTATGTTCAAAGGTGTGGCAGCAGAAATATTTATTTATTTATCGTGACTTGCTTACCTTTTCTCTCTTTTGCACTCCTATCGTTTTTTTTGTGTTGTTGTAACTCGCTGACCCACCCCTACCTGGGCGTCTGTGAAAAGAGCTTAATATACTCTTCGGATTCTTCCAGGATAAATATATGTTCTGATATTTCCTCCTCGGTGCTGGGTCAATCATACCAATATTGTATGGCGGACCCTAGTGAAAATGCGTCAATTTGGCTTTGCAGGGAAAATAAGTAATGTTCGTAGTATTTTTTGCTAATAATGCTATTTCTGAACCACACCGGGTCATTATCTACTTCAACCCGCACTAACCACGGTGAAATATCATCAACACCCTTGGGGCATTGTGCCCTTGTGTGCATGTATGTTGAACTTCTTTTACACCATACGTAGCCAGCCGTGCTAATTGGAAGGACAACAAAACTAAACACAAAAAGCAGTTCTAAATAAATTAGTTTTTCAATCTAGATTCAACAGTGCATAGCTCCAGTTGCTTCCTAATATCGGAACGAAGAGCGTTCCAGACGTCCGCAGAGGCGCATTTAAAAGCGTGCACGGCGGTGACCGTCTTTGTTCGATGGCTAGCCAAAAGCCTCTGCGAGGATGTATACTTTAATTTTGTTCGATTGTGCCCCGTTGGCTGTCTCGCAGGCAGCATGACGTCTCGCAAGGGGTTCAACGGTGCGTGCTCGGTGCACGAGTACATGGGCTCGTTCCAGGGGCAGAGCGCGCGCTTCAAGATGACGTCCGTGTGCGGCCACGTCATGACCCTCGACTTTATCGGTACCGGCGTCGTGTTACGAACGCCCGCGCCAACACGCCATGCAAACGCTCGCACTGCACTAATGCCCACACTGCACTAGCGCACGCTGTGCTCGAACACATGCTATGCACTAATGCCTATTACGGTGTTTTTTCTGGAAGATTTTGCTGTTTTATCCTGGATTTTTCTGTTGCCCGTATTCACTTTAAGATGTTCTTTGTTCATGTTTTTGTTTGTTGCGGTTGCACCCGAGTCAAGAGCCGCATGGCTGACAGGGCTATACCTAATAACTGAAACTGAGAAACTGAAACAACCCACTCTGCATGCTGGATGAGGTTAGTTTGGAGTCTCGTTGATAAAAGCACAGCCACTCCTGTGATGCAATCATGTCTTCGTAGTGGTGGTGCTGGTTGAGGTGTGTGCTCACTCGCAGCACTTGCCCCCACAGTACATATGGTCTATATGGGGGATCTTTGCGTGTGTTTGTGTGTTAGGCAAATACAACAACTGGGACCAGGTTGATCCTGCAGAGCTGTTCAGCAAGGCTCCTACAGAGAAGAAGGAAGCAAACCCCAAGTTGAGCATGGCAAAGTTCTTGCAGGTGATGACTTGCATACATATAGTCATTAACAATTTACATGTCCTTGATTAAAACTAGGTGAGAGCCAATTTAAGATGTGTAGTCTGTTTTCTTCAAGCGAAGATCTATTAAATTTCGATTTAAAGCTTTCGTGACTGCAGGGATTCATCTTCTTGGTTCTTTCGGTAAAGTCACGTAGAAGAGAAATAAAAAATAAAAAAAATAGAACATAATAAAATACAATTCTCACGACGTTTCGGCCACAACGCAAGCAGCCGTCCTCAGGTGACGAACAGGGCTGTCGGAAAGACAGCCCTGTTCTTCACCTGAGGACGGCTGCTTGCGTTGTATTTTATTATGTTTTATTATTATTTTATTATTTCCCTTCTACGTGACTTTACCGAAAGAACCAAGAAGACGAAATATCAAGATCAGGATGAACGCATTTTAAAACAACAACAACAACCACCTTGAGGGTGATCGACCAGGAACATATGTCCTCACCCAGGACACCACATCCACTGTTGTTAAGAAATACAAAGTGATTTTATGCTAAAATGAGCATTGGGAGAGTACTCATCTCCTGTAGGCTGACGTCACTGCGGCGAAGCCACAGGCATGTCCGAAGGGACGGTGACGTAATTCCTAAACAGTGGGTTTCAATGTAAGTCAATGTAGGCGACCCATCTTCCGGACAATTCTGGAAACGAAATGCAAGAATTTATCCTGGAAGATTGTGGCACCCATTGCTTTGTATTGGATGTTATTTTTGTAACAATTTTTTTTAAATGTAAAACGTTAATTCGGAAGGGGCAACAATTTTGCAGCAATGTCCTCGCCAAGAGAAATATTTATTTTTCAATGTTTTTTTTTCGTCCAACATACCGTTTGGGAGATTCACAGCGTCACGGCCAGATACTTGCGCGTTATACATCTATAGATGGCGGCGTGATTTTGTGTGTGTGTGTGTGGGGGATGTAGATCGAGGGCAAAGGATGCGACTACGTGGTGCTGTGGCTGGACTGTGACCGAGAGGGAGAGAACATTTGTTTTGAGGTGAGGTGGCTTTACACCTGGTCTCATTGTTAAACACAGCATAACCCAGCAGTGTAGTTATCTTTAAAAGCGTTAGTGTCGGGTAATTGGTTACGTCTTTGTAAAGAAGCATGAAAGACATGATAGCTCAGAATCAGTTATTTTTAATATATATTTACACCGCCATTATGAACCCCCCGAACTAACCAGCTGACTTCCTATGAGTTCATACTTTTTTGTCAATCCACTGCTGGATGAAGGCCTCCCCATACTATTTTACCTTGCTTCACCATCCTGGCCAGTGCGGGTTGATTAAGGGAAGCGGTCTCAGGACCGGTTCAGATGTCACTCGTGAGTGATGTTAGCTGTGGCCTGGAATCAAACTCGGGTTGCTGGGTTCACAAACCACTGCAGCATCACTCCACCCCAACCTGCTATTACATCCGTAGTGTTAATGAACTTGGGGGACGGGGAGGGGGTTTGGGGTGGTGGCACAATGTTTTGTGCACTCCGCCACAACTCCTGACAAATGAGTTTGATTCCCAGCCATGGCCAACGCCAGTGACGAGTTATCCCTGCATCAGTTCCTAGGCCTCATATAACCTTCAAGACAGACACGCCGCCATGCGACAGTGAATTGAATCTGTCATCGACGATTTGAGTGCCGCGTTCGATCAATCGATCGATCGGCGGTTCCGTGCTCGACAGTAGTTTCTCACCACCGCCTCCCAACGGTGTCACACCCCCTGCCACCCCCCCCCCCCCCCCGACTGACACCCCCTCACCCCTGGCTCGGCAGGTCCTGGACGCCATCGCGCCGTATCCAGTGAAGCACGGCTCCGAGCAGGTCGTGTTCCGAGCCAAGTTCAGCGCCATCACCGACACGGACATCCACAACGCCATGAACAAGCTGGCTGAGCCTAACCGCTTTGAGGCGCTGGCTGTGGATGCTCGTCAGGAAGTGGACCTCCGCGTCGGATGCGCCTTCACCAGGTCTCGGCGCCAGCTGCCACGTAGGCGTCGCCACCGTCGCCGCCACTGTTGACATTCGGGGGGGGGGGGGGGTGCAGTGATGATTGTTTCAGTTTCATTTCAGTTTCAGTTTTAATTTATTTGGAATAACCCTGTGAGCCATTCGGCTCTTGATTCGGGTGCAACCGCAACAAACAATATAATTACAAGATGCATTTAAAATTTACTGTATGCAAATTGAAATATCCCCTACAAAAGCAATTGAATCTTCAATAAAAAGCACCGTTTGTTTATGCTGCGTACTAAACTGTACAAAAAAATCCCATTTTGATTGGATGATGTCTTGTGATCGGAGGGGTGTAGATGGATATTTACGAATTGGGGTTATGAATTTGCTGTGCCTTCAACGCGCACGTCTTGTTACCACAGGTTCCAGACCAAGTACTTCCAGGGGAAGTATGGCGACCTGGATGCGTCGCTCGTCTCGTTTGGGCCGTGCCAGACGCCGACGCTGGGCTTCTGCGTGGAGCGACATGACCGCATCCAATCGTTCAAACCTGAGACATATTGGGTGCTACAGGCCAAGGTAGAGGAGACGTACTGGGTGCTACAGGTTAGGGTAGAGGAGACGTGTAGTCGGTGCTACAGGCCAAGGTAGAGGATATGTTCCTGGGTACTACAGGGTAAGGTGAAGATATCGTATATTGGACCCCAAAAATCACATTAAATGTGAATTTCGGTGACTGACGTATGTCTGCTTGTTATGCATATGGGTGCGGTGGTACACGTGTGTACATGTGTTGATTTGCACACGTGTGTGTGTGGTGGCACGCAAACACGCGTATAGGTGAGCACGGCGGCGGGCCAGGCTCTGACTCTGGAGTGGGAGAGGGGCCGCATGTTCGACCGGGAGGTGGCGCAGACTTTCCTCGCCATGGTGCGGGGAGCCACGGTGGCCAAGGTACAGCTCGCTTGCCATTTGCCACTTCTTAAATTGGCGTACAAGCGAAGGTCCGCCGTGCGTAGCATACGGCAATCCCTCGTTTAACGCGGTCGTAGATGCGCTTCTGAAAAGTGCCACGTTAAGGGAAATGTGTGTTGGGGTGAAAAGAAGTTCCCCATAAATAATGTAACGAAAAAGTTTGACGTTATGCTACGTACCACGCGCTCACGGTAAGATGGTGGGATAAATAATTAAGGGTTCGCCGCCGTGTTACTGTATTATTCTGCATACTGTATCGTGCCGTTCAGACGCGCAGCTCAAGAAAGTAATTTCTCGTCTATTGCACTGGGGGGACAATGGCGGCCGGGCTTGGTGCTGGCGGTGTTGGCCTTCATAGGTGCTCGCTAACAGCACTTGCCCCAACAGTCTGTTAAAGGCTATACGGGGGGATCTTTGGCTCTTGCCTTTGTGTATGTAAGTGTGTAATAGTCTGTCACAGGAGATGTTGACTATAACTTGGTCTCGGCGTGGGTCAGGTGCTGTCCGTGACTCAGAAGGAGAAGGCGAAACAGCGTCCGTTGGCTCTCAACACGGTGGAGATGCTGCGCATAGCCAGCTCCTCTCTCGGTGAGGGAGTCGCCAATCGCGGTCGACCAGGGACGGGGAACCTTCCGGAATGGGGTGCCATGGTGGCGAGATGTTAATTACCTCGCTTGGTATACAGGAGGTTGTGGGTTTGATCCTGACCCTGCCGCCTGCTGCTGTATATTTCGAGTTTGCATGTTCTCCCCGTGGTCGCGTCGATTTTTCTCCGGGTCCTCACTTTTTAACCCCACAGTTAGAATCAACAACATGCGTTTAGAGTATTTGGCTGCTATAAATTTCCACATGATAAGCGACTTTGTTGAGCTATCATTTGTGGCCAGGTTGCTTCTGAAAAAAAGGCAATAACTCAGTGGGCCTTATCTGGTCAAATAAATCGTTCGGTTTACTTCATTTCTCACAGTCCGCAGCTTCGTTCCACACGGCCCGCAGTCGCACGAGGCCTACCGCTTTAAAAAGGGCCCCTTAAATGATATTTACCCCTTACTGCAAGAATCCTATCTGCACTAATTGGATACGAGAGGGGAAAGTTTTATTCAATTACCCGTCTGTAACGGTGGGTGGGGTGGGGGGAGGTGGTGGCGAAGAGTGCGATAACCCTTGTAAAGATGAGCGTTATTGAACGGAACGTTTGCGTGAATAATTATAGGTTAGCATAAAGGTGAACCCTACTCTGGCCCAACGTTTCATAAACAGTGGTGAAAATCAGTGCTAAGAGGATGTTCGGTGGAAAAAAAAAAGTATCGGTCACGATTGATTCCAATCTCGTTAAACGATGCGTAAATTGCTATCCTTTATCCCAGTGTTCTTCACTCATTTTCAGTGGAGGGGGGGGGGGGTCACTTTCGCCAATAAGACATCAGTGCGACGGCCGTCACACTGCCTACAAGGGGTGTTTTCACATTTGTGTATTGTCGGGGGGCCCGCACGTCAGGGGCTACACTAAAGGCCACCAGGGGCCGCCGGTGGCCCACGCGGGCCAGTGAAGAACACTGGCATAGGAGCTACTCGCAACCGGCGCTTGCCCCATCAGTCTTGTAAGCCTACACGGGGGATCTTGCGATGAGGAACACTGCTTTAGGAGTTGGTAGCGCGTGTTTGTTGTGCTCATCTCTCCGTGCGTAATGCGAGGCATGGGGCCTCAGCACAGCATGCAGGTGGCGGAACGGCTCTACATCCAGGGCTACATCAGCTACCCGCGCACAGAGACCACCAGCTACCCTGACAACTTCGACCTCAAGGACGCGCTGCGCCAGCAGGCATCGAGCCCCTTCTGGGGGGACTTGGTAAGCCCGGCGCCGGCCGGATAAGCACTCCGATCGCCCCACCTCTGATCAGCATTGTTGGCTATGCACGGTGCGAAAGAAGTTCAACATACATGCATAGCTCACCGCAAACTTGTCCAAACTCCGATTTAAAGCTTTCGTGACTGCAGGGATTCATTTTCTTGGTTTTTTCGGTAAAGTCACGTAGAAGGGAAGTAATAAAATAATACAATTAAAACATAATAAAATAATTCTCGCGACGTGTCGGCCACAACGCAAGCAGCCGTCCTCAGGTGGAGAGCAGGTCTGTCGAGGAGACAGAGTCTGAGAAAGAGTCTGTCCAAACTCGCCTCAGCTCGCTTGGATTGTTTAGATTAGTTTGCTGTTATAAATGTCGTCATAATCGGCCACTTTGTTGAGCTATCGTTTTTGGCTGGGTTGCTTCTGAAACAGAAGCTAATGGCTCAGTGGGCTTTACCTGGTAAGATAACATTGGTTGAGTTTTATTTGTATATATTTTTTTCTAGTGATTTGTTTACGTTCCCTATACTTTGCACTCCTATCGTGTCTTTGTATTGTTTGTTGTTGTCACGTTCTGATCTGCCCCTACTGGACATCTTTGAAAAAGAGCTTTATAGGTCATCGGATTCCTCCAGTATACATAGGTATTCGGATTCTTATTCTGAACAGCTTTTGCCCCAACAGTCTGTGAAGGCTATACGGGCGGGGAACCTTTGCCTTTGAGTGCGGTCGCGTGCGTTTTCCTGCCCACAGGTGAGGGCCTTGCTGGCCCAGGGCCTGAACAAACCTCGCAAAGGCAGCGACGCTGGCGACCACCCGCCCATCACGCCCATGAGGGCGGCCACGGAGAGCGAGCTGGGTGGGTGTGCGCGGCGCGTGCACAGCAAACCCACGGTCCAGACGGCACCGCTGAGACCATGGGGCTCAAGTTCCGGCTTTCAGATGCCTGCGATTAAACCAACTCAACTCGTTAGTCAATAATTGGTTTTGTGGCCGTAAAGAGAGAAAAAATATATATAATAGGCATTGTTTAGGGCACATGGATAGGCCGGAGAGGTTAAGAGTCCCATCTATGTGCTGTGAAGGTCCATTGCTTGTTCTTTTTAGGGCCACATTAGTGTTGATGAAGGTGTTAAGTCATTTTTGTTGTTTTTGCGAACGTAGCAGCAGCATCGCCACCAAATAAATCGTTGTTAAGAAGCAGGTTCTCAAGTGTGGTGAGTTGAGCTGATGATCCCCCAAAAACTGGTATAGTTAAACCCTATCATAACGTGTTTTTCTGCACTTTAATTTTGCTCAATTTCAGTTCTCAAAATGAGAATTTCGTGACATGGCACGTGCTGGAGTGAGTGAGCGATTGAGCTCCTAAGTGGGTGGGCGAGCGAGCGAGTGACTTATTAAGACAGTGGCTGAAGGAGCAAGCAAGCGAGCGCCTGAGTGAGTTAACGAGTGAGTGTCTTGAGCGAGTGACCAGTTGACGAGCGAGCTGCAACCGAGCGTGTGAGCGAGTTTACGAACGTGCGGTTTTTAATCACCGGACGTATTTCTGTTTCTTGCAATCGCCAGGTGGCGACGCGTGGCGTCTGTACGATTACATCGTACGGCACTTCATCGCCACGGTGAGCGAAGACTGCCGCTACCTGCTCACCACCATCACGCTGTCGCTCGCGTGCGAGACCTTCCACTGCGTGGGCAAGACGCTCGTGTCGGCCGGTACGTCGCGTCGGTGTCGCCGGAGCTTGCCGGTCAATGTTGGCTCCCCTGTGTGTGTGGTGCTGTGTGGTGTGCGGTGGCGCAGCGATTAGCGCGTTGCAACGAACGCGGCGACACCAGTTAGATTCCCGTTCACGACCAACATTTCAGTGATGGAACGTCTGAACCGACCATGGGCCTCCCGATTGGTCAGCGACTTGACCTTAAATTAGTGAGTGGCGCGGTACTTAAACATCAGCACTGGGGAGACAACTAAAGGCGGCTGTATGAATGTATGTGTGTTTAACTTCTTTCACACTGTACCTAGCCAACCATGCTAATCGAAGGTGCGGGGGATTTGGTGTTGGCCACCCCAAACTCCTCGTGCACTGTTCCGGCCGAAATAGGTGCTCGCTAACAGCAATTACCCCACAACAGTTCGTTTGAGGCTATACGGTGCCGGTGGTGGGGGGAGGGGGTGTGGATCTTTGTCTTTTGCGATGCCGTTTGACCGCGCAGGCTACACAGAGGTGATGCCCTGGCAGGCCATCCCGCTTGAGGAGAGCCTGCCGGCGGTTGTGGCCGGAGATGAGTTGCCGGTGGACAGCGTGGCGCTGCTGGAGAGGCAGACGGGCCCGCCGGACTACCTCACCGAGGCCGAGCTCATCACACTCATGGAGAAGCACGGCATTGGTACGACACCAGTACAACGACGCAGAACCTCCCTCCCTCCCTCCCTCCCTCGTCGTGTGCCGTGCTGGCCTTAACAGGTGCTCGCCAACAGCACCTTCCCTAACAGTCTGGTGCAGGCTATACAGGGGATCTTTGTCTTTGTGCGTGCTCATCCACGGCACTCGCGGGGTAGCGGTCCACGCAGTGCAATGCAGTACAACACAAAGTGATACAACGCATCCGTCAATAGCACTGTGTCCTTAACAGAAAAACAACGTATAATAGCACATGCGCTAAAACACCTCGATTGCATATCTGCCTTCATTGATACTGAGTAATCTTTCAAAACTCAACACATTTGCCAATGGTTGAAAATGTATGGCCCTTCTGCAGTGCACACACGGAGGCTCGAGGGGTAGAGTGGCCTCTCGGTGTGCTGCGACGAAGGGCCATTGCCAGAAACGTCTCCTGTTATTTATTTCACTCAAAGTGCTCGCCACAAGTGAACCGCAATACCTCGCTGATCTCGTTAAGGGGCATAAACCACCAGCAGCGGCTTTTGGCTGACTGTCGAACAAAGACGGTGACCGCATCGCGCGCTTTCACATGCGCATCTGCGGCCGTCTGGAACGCTCTTTCTACTGATATTAGGAAGCCGCTGGAGCTATGCACTTGTAAATATATATTGATAACTAATTTCTTTAGAACTGATTTTTATGTTTAGCTTGTTGGCCTTCCGCACCTCCGATTAGCACGGTGGGTTACGTACGATGCTAAAATAGTTCAACACACACCATCATGACTCTCGCAATCGGTTTTAAAGACACTAAATATTATCAGCGCATGTTTGTTTGCATGTTTTGCCACAAGCATGTGTGGTTAATGCAAACTTGATGCCTTGCAACAGGTATCTATTTGCTGTTTGAACGTCTTAACATTTCCTGTTTTTTTTTGCCAGAAAGGGCAGAGCCTATTCTTACGTAGGGATAGAGTCTAACAATAGATGTTTGCTACATGGCACTCTACTGCCCACCCTGATGTAGTCACGTAGAAGCTATCATTTCTCCTTCGTCCTAACAGGAACCCCGGCGATAGACCTTGACTGCACTTGCCTTGACTTTTGACGCCCCCCCTCCAACCCACCCCGCCTCCCCCCTCACCTTGCCTCTTCCCTGCCAGGCACGGACGCTAGCATCCCCGTGCACATCAACAACGTGTGCCAGCGCAACTACGTGACGGTGGAGAGCGGTCGCCGCCTCAAGCCCACCAACCTGGGCATTGTGCTGGTGCACGGCTACCACAAGATTGGTAAGCAACTTCACCGCCACTTCATCGCCCTCCTCACTTCTGACCACTCGCCTCATCCCTCATGCGACCTCGCCTCTCAGTCCTCGCCTCTCACTCCGGTGGCGAAATGTTAACTGCCTCGCCTGGTGTACAGGAGGGCATGGGTTCTATTCCTGTCACTGACGCCTGTATATTTTGAGTTTGCATCTTCTCCCGGTGATCGCGTGGATTTTTCTCCGGGCCCTCCGGTTTTTCCTCTCCACATTTAGAAACGTGCGTTTAGGGTAACTGGCTGCTGTAAATGTCCACGCGATAAGCCACTTCATTGAGCTATCATTTGTGTGGCCAGGTCGCTTCTGAAAAAGAGCGATGTAGTTTAGTTCCATTACGCCGTCTTCATGGGAACGTTGCCTCTCACTCGCGACCCCGGCTCTCAATCTGACCTCGTCCATCTCTCGTCTCTGCCTCGCCACTCCGCACTCCACCCTCACCCCTCCCTCTTACCCCACCGTCACACACACCTCTCCCACACTCACCCTTCTCTCACCTGCACTGTAATCTCACCGTCACCACCCCCTACTAACTCCTCCTTCACCTGCAATCGTATCTCACCCTCGGCCTGCTCTCTCACCCGTCCCACACTCACTGCCTCCCTCACCTATGGTCACACTGATGTCACCCCACCATCACCCGTGCCCACCCTCCCAGCCTCATTTCCCTCTCTAACTGGCCGTGTCGCTTCCTGATGTTCGTTTTGAGCGCTCTCGGCTTGAGCGCTCTCATCGGATATCGGATTTGCATGCCGCGCAAATCCACTCCAGCGCAACTCATCATCATCCCTTTTAGCACGATGGCCAAACCCCGCCGCACACCATTCGTCTTCGTGTGTATTCAACAATCAACACGTGGCTTTTCAAAATGTTCCTCCTTTTTACCAGATTGTTTTTGCCAGTGTTCTCATCCGACCGTGTGTGCGTGTGTGCGTGCGCATACCTGCGTGCGCGCCATCGTCCGACTTTTACTCTTGGCCATCGCCCGTGACGAATATCCGAACCCGTGCTGGGCCTCCCCTACGTTGAGTCGGCCTGAAATGAGTACCTCGTGGGGTGTGTGAATGTGAGCACTGGGGAGACGGAGGGCGGTCGAGCGTGCTGCTGGCCACCCGCTTCCTCGCGTGCCGTCGTTCATAGGCGCTCGCTCGCAGCACTTGTCCCAAGAGTCTGTGAAGGCTAATGTGTTGTTGTGCAAACGCAGACCCGGAGCTGGTGCTGCCTACGATGCGGGCCTCGGTGGAGAAGCAGCTGAACCTGATCGCCATGGGCAAGGCCGACTTCCAGGCTGTGCTGCAGCACGCGCTCAGCATCTTCCAGCGCAAGTTCCACTACTTTGTCGACCACATTGCCGGTGCGTGCTGTCTTACTCTAGTCACCGCCGCCATCGTCATCATCATCATCATCGTCGTTTTCTTGGTTCTTTCGGTAAAGTCACGTAGAAGGAAAATAATAAAATAATGATAATAAAACATAATAAAATAATTCTCACGAGGTTTCGGCCACGACGCAAGCAGCCGTCTTCAGGTGGAGAACAGGTCTGTCGAGAAGGCTCTGCCTTCTACGTGACTTTACCGAAAGAACCAAGAAGATGAATCCCTGCAGTCACGAAAGCTTTAAATCGAAAAAAATCATCGTCGTTCTCACAGTTGTCATGAGCTTGATCGTCATCCGTTATTTATTTCGTCATTGTCATGGTGATGGTCGTCATCGGCATCGCGGCCTCTTCATCACCCTTAATGTAATCATTATCGTCACCTTCCTCATCGTCATGATCGTGGTCGTCATCATTGTCATCTACATTATTATTTTAGTCATCGTCATGATCATTATCATAGTCATCATTATCATTGTCATCATCATTATCATTGTCATCATAAACCTTACACTAATCCTTGCTTGGCAGACGTAATTGAGCTGGGAACATAGGAATGGCTCTCTGTGCGTGTGTGTCTCTGTACGTGTCTGTATGTGTGTGTGTCCGTGTGTGTTTTCATTTGTGGGGAGCGGTGGCGCAGTGGTGAGCACGCTGCAGTGTGTAAACATCACCACTGGGGAGACAAAGGTGGCCAGGCATGGCGTTGGCCACCCACCCCCTTGTGTGCCGTGCCAGCCTTCATAGGTGCTCACTAACAGCACTTGCCCCAACAGTCTGTTAAAGGCTACACGGGTGGTCTTTGCCTTTCTCTTTGTGGTGGAACAGGCATGGATGAGCTGATGGAGGTCTCCTTCTCTCCGCTGGCCGCCACTGGGAGACCTCACTCGCGCTGCGGGAAATGCCGTCGCTTTATGAAGTACATCCAGGTCAGTGGTTGCCCTACGTGTGTCACTGTAGTGGGGTGCGTAGGAGGTGGTGTTGAGTGTGTGTTTGCACAAGCAACTCTCACTTCTCATCCTCCGTAGTAGTCGGGTTGGTGTGTGTATCCTTCACTCTTCCTCTCTTTCTGCATGACCTCACACCGCCCTTGTCAGACGCTCGGAATCCCGACAAGCCGTTCAACACGAGCTCAAGTCCTCCTCGTATAGCAGCACCCAGTGCCAGTAACGGTCAAAGCTGTCGTCGCCCGCTCGTGCGTGTCGCATCAGGTGACGCGCTGGCTTGCGGTTGCGGTGCGGGGGTGAAAAAGAATCCTCTCCATAACTCCGCGAATCTTTAATGCGCGGGGGGGAGAAGAAGAAGCTCGTCTCATTGGAAATTGTGTCCCATCACACAGCCGCGATAAAGCTACTCGGCGTGAGCACGCGCCCTTTCCACACCGCGCTCCGTGCGCCCCCGTGAAACGTTCTCTTCTGTGCCGCCAAAATGCCGTCGTCAGTGGAGATAGCGTGCACTGGAAGGACCCATCAAGCCATTTTAGTGATTTAGGTAATTTATCCAATTGCCCGCGCTTGTTGAAGACACCAGCTAACAACGGTCGTAGCGAGTACGAACGGCATCATGCGCTCTCGGTTTAAGCCCGGTTATATATTTATTCATCACGCGTAGTCAGCGAAGGACCGTTGCGCCAAACGTGTGACCTCTTGCGACAGCATTCGCATGAACTGCTCTTGCTGTCATACGCCGGCGTCTCGAGCGAATTTTTTTATTCACATCGATCACGGCGGGGGGGGGCGAGGGGGGAGGGGCGACCACCACAGGGGCGGTACCATTCCTTTGAGGATCGCAGTCCGCTTGGGACGTCGACGGCCAGCCCGAAGTGCGCACTCTACTGTGATACAGCCGGCTCCCTCGGCGGACTAAGCTCTCCATTGCGAGGAGACCGCTCTCGTAGATGCAACGGTGACAGCTGTGACGAAGTCGAAGCATCGGGGTGCCAAGAAAGGCGTCTTTGGCATCGCACGTGAGCATTCAAAGAAACGGCCTCTGCTAGCGCCGGGAACCAGAGCCGCTTCGGTGTCCACCAATGCGCGGGATGGAATGCACGATGTTGTTGTGGACCTCGAGACAAAATCGGAACGGACACTAACGTCGTAAAGCTATGGTGCTCGTTACAGCTGATGGCAAGTAGAAATCTCCAACTTAATAATTCATACGTAAAAAAATAACGTAATAACTTCTACCAATAGACGGCGCTAGTGCTTTCATGGCAAGAGTATATTACAGGCTTTAACCCATCTGCGCAATTGATGGTCACGGCTTTCTGGTGAATCGGAATCCCGTTGAGATCCACCAGAATGGATCGTCAAAGTGCTTGGTGCGTCGGCCCTACCGCTGGACCTTATTGGACGATAATGAACAATGCTGTTGCAGTGTGCACGGTTGGCTACATGTGGTACGAAAGAAGTTCAACATTCACACATACGTACGCTCTCAGTTTGTGGGTGGAGCGGTGGCACAGTGGTTAGCGCATTGCGATTATGAATCCATTAAGCGGCCCGGGTTCGCTTTGCGGCAACGGCTGACGTCAGTGGAGAGTCGTACCTGCACCGGTCTTGGGTAACCCCAACTTCTCCTTTCCTCCACTGCACCAACACGTGCCTTACCGGCATGGCGAGGTATGGTCAAAACAACACCTTTGATCGATCTGCCGTGGGGAAGCTCTTATCCAGCAATGGATTGATAAAGAAATTGCAAATCATCATTTGTGTTCTCTTTATTATTGTCTATTCCTCTTGCTGAACAACTTAGATAAGATGCCTCATACACCACTGTATATGCAAATGCTATGACTACGATCCATTGCTTCGTCAATTCTCACCGATTGGTCAGCTCGTAAAATATTAATCATAGACGCGCCTTATTCCGATTTGCCAGCGTCGTTATTTCTGCACAATTGCACAGCTCGTTGCTATATATTGGGCTGTGAGCTGGCCAGGAGATGGCCAGTACAGCAAGTAGATTTTTCAAATCCACCCCTGTGTAGAGTTTTTGAGTGTTGTCCCCTTGCGTGTATTGCATGGTGGCTTTTTTACGCCACCGTGCCATCTCACGAAACGTAATTGACCAAACAGCCCAGTGTGGCAGGACCCACCTGAGTTGGAGTCTTGAGACTCGGCGAGGCTTCCCCGGATAAATCAATGATCTTATCATTATTATTTTGTTTTCACAATGTCGTATGACCTGATGCTTGTCACCTCTGGTTTGCTATCCTTGCGCATGCTCGCACTCTCTCTCTCTCTCTGTGTGTTTTGCTGGCTGCTGTGCATTACTGGCCTCGGGGCATTCAATTAGCAACTGTAATTACAAACATATACAGTCACACTGTGCAGCTGCTAATCATGCAAATTAAGCCAGATGATGGATGGTGTTTAAGCAGCGGGCGGAGGGACGCGCGCTTTGGAATTGCGCTCAGAGGAGGACACGGGTCGCTGAGCGATCGTGAATCAGACGAGGGAAGTGAAACGGGGCCTGCCGGCAGAGTCGCCCGTTCCGCGCCAACGATGGTGCGGCAGTTGCAACGAAGTGACACCGCAGTTAGTCCACGGGTGGGCGGTCGTGTGTCCGGTGGGGTAGAGGGTGGGTAGTCCAAACGTCTAATCATTTTTAATGGCCGGGTCGCTCCTGAAAAATCAACTGCGATCTCGGTGGGCTTTACCTGATAAGCTAAAAATAGTTTAGTTTATTTGTATTTGTTTATGAAGTGATTTATTTACCTTTCCTATACCTTTCACCCCGATTGTGTTTTTCTGTTGTTTGTTGTGACCTGCCTCAACTGGACACGTGTGAAAAAGAGCTTTATCGGATTCCTCCAGTATACATCAATATTCTGATGCTGATTCTTCCGAGACGTCTGCTCAGCGCGGAAGAATTGGCCGTAAATATCCGTGAGAGGAGGGGGCTGTCTCTCGCGGCATTAGCCACCACGAGCGAGCAATTGGTCGGTCGTTGTGATGACGTCGACGTCATCACGTGATCTCTCGGAGAACGACGCCACTTCACCTGTCAGAACCACACACGTTCCTCCGGGATGAGCAATCATTGCCCCACCCCATCCTAATAGCAGACTCAAAGAGGCCCTCTCACAGACCAGCTGCTGAAGTAGTCACCTTGTGCCACACAGGGCACATCTGCCACTCGGGGGGGGGGGGGGGGGGTTGCCCTTTGAAAAAAAACGTGGTGAGATGGAAGCGGCCTATCGCCAGTCGAGCTCGCTCTTGAGACACCTCAAAGAGGACGTTCTATCAACATCGAATTGTTATCACCACTCCCTTCTTCTCTTCTTCTCCTCCGCGACTGCCCGCCCCCCCGCCCCCCCGCCCCCCCCCCGCTACAATCTCTGCCGCTCCCAACTCCCTCCCCCCCGCCCGAGCAGGCGAAACCGAGCCGCCTATCGCTGGTAGAGCTCGCTCTTGAGATGGCTCCAGGAGGACGCTCTGTCAACATTGAATCATTATCATCACTCCCTTCTTTTTTTTCTTCTCTGCGACTGCCTCCCTCCCTCCCGCTACAATGTCTGCCACCCCCCCACCCCTCTACCGAGCAGGCGAAACCGAGCCGCCTGCACTGCTCGCACTGCGACGATACGTACAGCCTGCCCCACGGCGGCGCCCTGAAACTCTACAAGGAGCTGCGCTGCCCGCTGGATGAGTTCGAGCTGGTGCTGTGGACGTCCGGGCCTCGCGGCAAGAGCTACCCACTGTGCCCCTACTGCTACAGCCGCCCACCCTTCCCCGACATGAAGAAAGGTGCGCGGGGGTGGTCATCGTACCCCCCTCCCCCCTTCACTTCACTCCCCACCGCACCCTCCCCCCCGCACACCTAGCCAACCCCCCCACCATGCCCCTCGGGTTAGAGCATTGCCCCGCAGTGATTTTAGCAAAGTTGTCAGTGCAGCTCCCAATATATTTTGATATATTTCAGGCTGCTTTGAAAACTCACCTCTTTAAACTGGCCTTTACCTCGAGTTTTGGCCAATTATCCTGGTTCTGTTTATTTCCTGCTTTCAAAACACGGTGGTGCAATGTGATCTAGGGATGAAATGCGCCTTACAAATGTAAATTCTTATTATTGTTGATGAAGGGGTACCAAGAAGTAGTTCTGTAATATTCTGTTTCACGGCATTTACCAACACGACTGGAGTCTTGGTTGTCACTCCGCTCGCCAAAGTGGCCACGTGGCTCAGTGGTGAGAATGAGCCCATCGCTGGTGACATCATGGGTTCAAATCTGGGTATCAGGCGGTCCGTAGTGGCCATGTCGGAGGCACTAAGGCGGCACTCTGGATCTCCGCTCGCGCTCGGGGCAAGGGGAGCAAGCGACATGCCTGGGTGTCTTGCTCTGTGCTATCGTTTGTGTCCTCCCTCCGCTCCCTTTGTGTCTGTCCGTCTGTGAAAACATCTCCGTAATCCTCCTCGTGCCATCCCCGTCGCATCCTCCGCGTCCTCCGTGTAATCCGTCATCGTAATCCTCTGGGTAATCCTGCCCCATAATCCCACTTACTGGGCTTCCTTTCCTCTTCCTCCTGTCCCTCTCTCACCATCTCCTCCTCCTCTCTCCTTCCTCCATCTCCCTCGCTCTCCCCTCATCCCTCCCTCCTACTCTTCCCTTGTCACTCCCATCCTCTATATCTCCCTCCCTCCCCCCCCCATCCCTCCCCCGCTGCAGGCATGGGCTGTAACGAGTGCACGCACCCGACGTGCGCCCACTCGTTGCTGGCGCTGGGCGTGGGCCAGTGCGTCGAGTGCGAGGGGGGGGTGCTCGTCTTCGACCCACTCTCGGCCCCGCGCTGGCGCATGGTTTGCAACCGCTGCAGCGTGCTCGTGCACTTCTTCGCCGGCGCCCTGCGCGTCAAGGTGGTGGCGGCGGCGTCGTCGTCGGGTGAGCGCCTGCGGTGCCGCTACTGCTGTTCGGAGACGCGGAGGTGCCACGGAGAAATGGAGGGGTGGATACGGGGACCCCGGCGGGGGGGGGGTAGATGTATGGGACTGGGAGAGATAGGGGATAGGCGGGAGACGCAGAGAACGGATGGTAGACGCAGGGGACGGCCGGAAGACCCAGGGGACAGGTGGGAGACCCAGGGGACAGGTGAGAGACCCAGGGGATACGTGAGAGACCCAGGGGACAGGTGGGAGACGCAGGGAACAGGCGGGAGACCCAGGGGACAGGCGGGAGACCTAGGGAACAGGCGAGAGACCCAGGGGACAGACCCAGGGGACAGGCGGGAGACGCAGGGTACGGATGCGAAGAGGGAGACAGACGCGCAGATTCAGCGACAGATGCAAGGAGAGAAGCAGACGCAGTGACAGATACAGACAGATGTAGATGTAGACACAGCGGCCAGATACCGATGCAGGGATAAAAGCAGACAGACACAGGGACGTGCACGTTTGTGGTAACGTACAGGGACAGAGAGACAGACACAGGGATAGACAGGCACGGGACAGACCCAGGGGCAGGGAGGGACAGAGGGGATGGACACGGTGGTGGCTAACATTGGTGGCGAGTGAATATCTGAACCGGTTCTGGGCCAGCGTGTGGTGAAGTACGGCCAAAAACAACCCCCGTGACCGACGTGGCATGGAGATGCCTTCGTGCAGCAGTGGATTGCTCATGGCTGACGATGCTATGTGTAAATCAATTTTGCACAAATGAAAAAAAATCGAAAACATTCTAACGACCCCCCCGTTAAAGATTAACGCCGCGGTGTGAATTCACCGTCCTCAACATCCATGCGCCGTCCCCTTCGCTCACAGCGGATATCTAAAGACCACGCAACGTCACTCGCAAGAGTAGAACTTTGCGTGGCCGGTGTCACGTTTCCGAATTTGACATCAAAACGACGCGCAAAATTACTTGAATTGTGATCACGCGTAGCAGCGACATCGCCGCCTGCTCCTGCACAAAGAGCTTGGCAGGATCCTCCCGGGTAAGCAAACGGAATGGCAATAATAATTAGTTTTGTTTGAATTATGATATTCACGTCACATATATTTCCCCTTGGCGTTATCGATAGAGCCATTGATTTCCCGACTTCACTACCCCCCCCCCTCCGCACCGTGGTCCCACTGACGGGAGAGATCGCTACTCAATCATTAAACCTTAATTAATTTAACCGACGGTAATTGTCTCATAAGTTAACCTGTCAAGTGCCCGTTTAGCATTGACATTGTGTCAACCCTCTTGCAAGGGCGACCTCAAGAACAGAAAGTTCACCGAAACGTTTTGGTGGGGGGGGCCTTCGTCCAGCAGTGGATAGACCACGGCTGCTGCTGCTGCTTGTCATGAATATGATTTGTTCGTATTGGTTGACATAACTCCCACAGCCACTAGAGGCACTACGCATTCACCGCAGCATTAGGAACGTAAAGACGACTCGACGCATTCTTCAGGAACACTTCAGAGCACTAGATGTGAAGGTCCTTTACGCGAAACGTCACCTCTTATCGAGTTTTCTTTGAAGGCCGCACACGCAGACAGACAGTCATTGCATCGAGCACTTTCAGATGCGCTTCTGCGTCCGTCTGGAACGCTCTTTCTTCCGATATTAGGAAGCCACTGGAGCAATCCACTTTTAAATCATCTAGATTGAAAACTAATTTTCTTAGATTTTTTTGTTTGTTTTCCTTCTCCCGCACCTCCGATTAGCAGGGTTGGCTACGTACGGTGTGAAAGAAGTTCAACATACAGTACATACACGCATGCGTGTGTGTCGGGGCTGGGCGTGCAGGATCTTGCGTCGCAGGATTGTGGGAGGAGGTGGCGGTGCTGTGATGGCTTGTGGTGAGGGAGGTGGGGATAGTCCTTCATCCTTGGCTGACGACTAATTTCCACTCAAGATCAGTTTGTGCTCTTTATAACTCGCGCAGAACCCCCAATCAGGCGGCAGATGGATCTGAACCTGTCACGTCTGCGCACGTTGGCTTCACGCAAGTGACAGCTCGGCTCTCCAGCTGCCCGAGCGGCGCTAAGCGCTCGCGTTTATTCGACATTGATTAAGTTGCTGCTCTCGTCCATTGTTTGAGAGATAAAAACGCGTTGGTGGCCGCGAGGACCTGACTAGTGCGCGGAATGTTAAACGTGACGGTGCGAGTGTGGGAAGTCTGCGCGTGGCAGAGTGGGGAGTACAGTTCTTTTTCAGCGACCCACCTGGCCACAAATGATAGCTCAACGACGCGGCTTGTCACGTGGAAATTACAGCAGCCAAATACTCTGAACGCGTGCTGTTGATTCTAAATGTGGAGGGGAAAAAAACTAGAGGACCCGGAGAAAAATCCACACGACCATGAAGAGAGAGACACGCAAACTCCAAATATACAGGCATCAGGGTCAGGATCGAACCCGCGACCTCCGGTATACCAGGCGAGGTAGTTCACATCTCGCCACTGCGGCGGCCCCAACAATCTCATCAAGATCATGATCACCATCATCACTCGGTGGCGTTGTAGAGGCTTGCCATGCTGCGGCGCTCTATAGATGTTGTCGCTGTTACAGGGACGCAGGCTCGGCTGGACCCGCCGGACGTGGAGGATTGCGCCCGCGCGGCGTGGGCCTGCGAGTCGTGCGAAGCGGCGCTCGTCGAAGTCGAGTACCCGGCAGCGCCAGCCGGTGCCGGCAACAACAACAACAACCAACAACAGCAGCCGGCGGCCCCCGCCGCCGGGGCAAAGGTTGTGAGGTCGCCGCTGCCCGACGGAGCGACACGGCACGTGGGCTGCGTGTTCTGCGACCCCGTCTTCGAGCCGCTTGTGCAGTTGAAGCACGCGCGGGCGCAGAGGGCCCGGCGTGGTGGGGGCCGGGGGGGACCGGCTGGTGCTGGCCCAGTGGGGGGCAGAGGGGGAAGGGGTGGGGGCGGAGGGGGGTTCCGTGGGGGCAGGAAGCCCAGGGATAAGATGGCGGCGTTGGACGCGTATTTCGTTTGAGGTGGCGGTCGTTTCCGAGTGTGTGTGTGTGGTGCCCGTTGCCTGCGTGTGTGTGCGTGCTTGGATAAAATGCAGGAAGTTGGCACAGCGGAGGGCACAGGTGGTGCATCTGCCAGTCATCTCAGTCAGTCCACCCATGTCACCCGGGTCTGTCTCGTGATGTCTGCCAGTGAGCCTTTGACACTTAACGATGCCTTAATTTGCAAGAGTGAACCTGGGTCATCAAAAGTACCAAAGCATAGCAAATCAAAATCAGAACTAAAACTAAAAGAACTGCGTCTATCGCGCGTCGAGGAATAAAAAATATTGCAAAACATGATTTCCCAACAGCGCAAATCTGCTCGGGAAGATTTACCTCCACACTGAACACAGATAGCACAATATTACAAAACTTAAGCCGCGGGAAACATTAATCAGGAGATATATGGTGACTATAATACCATACTAATATGTGAACAAACACGGACGTGTGACGTCAAATGGAATTGCAACTCAATTCATCGTAGATAAATTAAATCGCAGCTTAGCATCAAATTGTGATCGAGGTGTTAGGGTAACCAATGGGTGCGTTCGAAGCGATGGGATTCCAGGCAGTTTTTTGGTGCATTGGCAGAGAGAGAGAGAATACGAGTGAGACCCGTGGGAGTGAATTGGTGAACGCGGAAAAACGGAGCGTGTTGGTGGTGGGGGGGTGAGGAGTGGATTTTGGGAAACTCAGTAACGGCAAACGTTTCTTGAAATCCCGCTTATTCACAGCACATAAACAGGGGGGGGGGGGGGGTACCTCTCTGGCCTCCTCTCTATGTGCTATGAAGGAGGACCACTGCCCGAAACGTCGCCTTATTGTATGCTCGTTCACATTAAGGCCACACACAGTGTTGTTGACAATGTGTTGACAAATGTGCTTTTTTGTGTGTGTGATGTTTAACTGCGCTTATGCACCACTGCCAACGCAGCAGCAGCAGCAGCGTAATGTGTTTAATTCCGAATGATCATTCGTGTCGTTATAGAGAATATAAGTAACAAAATAAACAAGCAGAGAATTCGCCTGCGGCACTATCTACATAATGGGATGTGGAATAAAAGAAACACTTTGATATGTGGAGGGACAGTTATGTAAAGCAGGCGAAATATCTGCATGTTTATTTAGTTCCTGATTTACACGTTGGGGGGTGGGAGCACTAAGGGAATGTTGAACTCAAATTGTTTTATGCAACTGAGCCCTTGGCCTTATCACGAGCTTCGTCGTGTTTTGCCGACTGCAGCTTGTTCTTAGATTTTTTCGGTAAAGTCACGTAGGTAAAAAAATCAAAATTAATAAAAGTAAATTAAAAATAAAATAAAAATCACGACGTTTCGGAGGCAACACAAGCTTCCGTCTTCAGGTGGAACCGTCACAGCACGCTTGCTGTATCAAGTAAATGAGAGATTCCAAGGGATACTTGATTACAGCAATCGTGCTGTGACGGTTCCACCTGAAGACGGAAGCTTGTGTTGCCTCCGAAACGTCGTGATTTTTTTTATTTTACTTTTATTAATTTTGATTTTTTTACCTACCGATAAAACCTAAGAATATGAATACTTGCAGTCACGAAAGCTTCAAAATCTAGACTGCAGCTTGGTTGCGTTTGTTGTTTTTGTTGCCGAGTGTGGATGCGCGGGTGGTGCAGAGCAAGAGTGTAGTTGCGAAGGTGGCGTCGAGACCACTTTGTTCACCGGAGGAAGAAACGCGATCACGTTCGGCGCACGAGAGCCGCCCCCCCCTCTCCCCACCACCCGCGAAGGTGCCCGATCTCGCCCGCTTCTTCTCGAAAGTCTCAGCAGGTTTTTTGTTTTTTTTGCCTGGCGAGTTGTCACTCGGATGCGTGACCAACCAACAACCACTTAGGTGGGAGCTTGCCATGTCCGGAATAGAGGTTTTTTTGTTTTGGGTCAGATCGCGTAAATATTAAAGTGTCGTTTAAGCCGCCGCCACCCGACACAGCCAATTAGTAAGCTTGGTCACGTGAACAGAACGTGCCAATTCGTTACTAGTACAGTGCACCGGTGTATTAGAGAGGAAACCCACAACATTTACAATTGGAGTCCGACGTTTCGCCAGTTATTACTGCTAGCATCATCAGGCGGACAGCCAGGTTTGTGGAGAAATCCTCCTGCTATCGTTCTAAATAGAGATATATAAATGTGATGTCACCACCTGTGAGGCAATTGGGTGCAAAGGCCAGAGGGGGTTGGGGGGGGGTAATGTATGCATATAAATTACAATGTATGCATATGAATTACAATGTATGCATATGAATTACAATGTATATCCATTACACATGGCGAGCCACAGGGCTTTGCAGGCATGGGCCTTCTCTTGTGAGTTGTGGCCAGGAGATGGCATCGCTGAGTGTTGTGGGGGGAGCTGTTGCTTTGTGGCGGTGAGCACGACACGCTAGGAACCCCCGGCTACCCAGGTTCGGATTCCAGCTCACGGTCAACACGCACCATTGACGATTATCTAAAGCGGTTCTGGGCATCCCCTAGGTCGACTCGGCCTGAAATGAGTACCCGGTCGGGTGTGTAAACATGTTGTTTTCTCCTTCCCGACACGAAGACAAACTCTCGCGAGTAAATGGAACTGGAGCCAAACATCATCCCGATGTAGCCGGGACTCCTTGCTGAGCAAGAGATGTGAAGTTCGGTGGGGACCTTTCGTGGCGCCAGTGATCGGTGTTACAATGGAAGCGGCGTTACACGAGTGTGTGTCGATGCCGTCTCGGTGTGTTTGTAGTTATCACGGCGGTTTTGCATTTTACTGCCACCAGAACTTTTATACAGCAACGTGGTGTGTGGGGGTGCGAGCTGGGATGTGGGTGGAAGTGAACGAATATTACGACATCAAGTCGAGAAATACACCTTTGCAAATGGCTTTACACATTTAATATTGTACATAAGAACGGGGGGGGGGGGGGGGCGAAATTATTAATAAATATTTAAAAAACCCGTAAACTCTTTCTCCGTTTTATGAAAGATGGTCGTGTTTGTATCGTCGTCGTGCGTTTCACGGTGTGTAATGTTCGAGCTGGGATATCCGAGCCTTGGTTATTGATAATTATCGATGATCGAGTTTTCTCAATGCCGACTCGTAGTGTAATGAATGCATTTTGCTTGTCATCATACTGGTAGGAACCTCCTGGTTACACCAGCCCACAGGGGATTATTCCGTCTATCGTGCAGGGAGGGGCTGGGTGGGGAGGGAGGGGCTGGGTGGGGAGGGTGGGCTGGGTGGGGAGGGGAGGGTGGGGAGGGGCTGGTTGGGGAGGGTGGGGCTGGGTGGGGGGTGGGAGGGGTGGTGCTGGGTGGGGGAGGGGCTGGTCACCCCGTGGTGCCCTTATAAAACTCAACGTTTAACCTACTCACGCCGGCTTGTGCCCGCCCTCACAGTCAGGCATATTTGCGGAATACACCATGCCGCCGTTGACCTTGGCCATTGACCGAGCAACCCAACGTTCCTGCCAGCTCCCTCCGCAGGAATGTGTTTATCATCATCTGTGTCCCGAGGCTTTAATCTCCACCCAGAAGAACTCTTCACCTCGCTCATCAAACCACTCGGACGGTCACAGGACGCGTCTCTTCATCGCCACTGGAACATCACTTTCCTGCCTGCGAGTGACCTCTCTGCGTGGAGATCTGTGGGGACGTGTGGACGACACTGGGGGTCTGGTGTGGTGGTGGTATAGGGAGCGATAGCGCAGCGGGTTAGCGTGCTGCTCTACGAACTCGGCGACCCAAGTTTTATTATCCCCTAACGGCCAACACCAGTGATGATTATTTGAATTGGTCCTGGGCCTCTTCTACGAGATCGGCTCAGCCTCAAATGAGTACAGGGTGCCAGAGGTCGCAACCGGGTACCCGATACCTGTACCCTACCCGTACCCGACCGGGTACGGGTAGGCCGTCAGTCACTGGTGAGTAGCCGTTTGTCACTCATTTCGGGTAGGGTACGGGTAGGGAACGGGTACCCGTACCCGGCCGGGTACGGGTGCCCATTTGCGACCCTGGTGCGGCCGGGTACGGGTAAGGAATCAAAACCCGTTTGCGACCTCTGCCGGGTGCCTTGTGTAAACATTGCCACTGGGGAGACGAAGGCGGCTGGGAGTGGTGCTGGCTATCCACCCCTTTGTGTGCTGTGCCTGGCCTTCATAGGTGATCGCTAACAGCACTTGCCCCATCATGGGACCTCTCTTGCGAGGATATCAAAATAATAAGAACAGGTTTCACCCTTTCTGGCAATGACACAGGTGTTAAGATGTCAGAACACCAAACTGAAACCTTTTGCAAGGAGTCATGTCCGCATTAACCACGCGTACTTGTGGTGAACATGTCATGAATATGTTTTTAAAAACCTCGTAAACTTTTATGAAAGATGGTCATGTTTGTGTCGTAACAGTGCGTTTCACTGCGTGTAATGTTCGAGCTAGAACATCCAAACATAAACAAGCTCTGTTTTTGTTTGCATGTTCACCACAATTGTGGTTAATGCAGACATGGTTTCCTTGCAAAAGGTTTATTTTGGTGTTTTAACATCTTTACACCTATTTTATTGCCAGAAAGTGTAAAACCAATTCTTATATCACTTGCTCCCAACAGTCAATGCTATACGGGGTTGGGGGAGGGGGGTCTTTGTTTTTTTTGTTGTGGTTGGTGGAAGGATTCCTCCAGATTGCAATGGTTCTCCTGTGATGTTTCTCCATTCGATTTGCAACACCCCGACTTACTGTCCCTGCTGCAGCACGCGTATAGCCCACCAGCCGAGCGTTCCCATAGCACACGCTTCGCTAAAGGTGGCGCTATTGTAGTGGCGACCCACGCCACCCCGTGCCACCACCACCAACCACCAAGTTCAATGTTAAAAGTTGATTTTGTTTAACCCGGCTGTGAGAGAGCTCCAGCCACCAGGATAGAGTCTAGTTTGCAAGAGTGACCGGGTCACCAAACAAATAGAAATATTTCGATTTAAAGCTTTCGTGACTGCAGGGATTCATCTTCTTGGTTCTTTCGGTAAAGTCACGTAGAATGGAAATAATAAAATAATAAATAATAAAAATCTAAACGTAATAAAATAATTTTATATAACGTTTTTATTTGTATTATTTATTATTTTAGTATTTAATAAGTAATAAATATTTTTTTATTACGTTTTTTATTTTATTTTATTATTTCCATTCTACGTGACTTTACCGAAGAACCAAGAAAATAGAAATATGTATAAAAACAACCACAACACAGCTGATCGCGATGATGATGATGATTTAAACACCCTGGGCCATGACCGAGCGGGCTGCGGGCTGAGCCTCCACCCCCCACCCACTCACCCCACCTTACAAATGGTCGCCACTGATCTGCCCAAGTTGGTTTCGATGGACACGGGGTGAGTGAACGAATGAATGAGTTATAACCACCGCTGGTTATCTCTGCCCCCCCCCCTCGGCTGCCTGGTTCTCATCATCATCTTAATCACCGTCAGTAGCGGCAGTACTGGCATCCTCCCGTCCCTCCCTGCACCGAACCGTTCTTGCCCCGTCGCGACAAAGTGGGCCCATTTAGGCAGCGCGGGGACATTTTATAGAGACCCGCGCCGAATCTTCCCGAAGCTTCAGCCGCCAAAGGGCAGCGCCGCGCCTCGCCGCTGCATAATTGGCGGCGGTTTAAAGGTTGCGCGTGTTGACCGACTCAATGGGGGGGCGGCGGAGGTAACAGGCGGTGGGCAGCGAGAGGGGGGGGGGCATGGGGATATATCCACCAGCGCCAATGGAAACACGGGGGGGGGGGGGTGGGAGCTTTGTCGTCTGCGGTGTGAATTTTAATTGTGCTGGGAAACGTCGCCGCTGGAGAGACAAAGGCGGCCGGGCGTGGTGTTGGCCACCCACCACCGGCATGTGCCGTGCCGGCCTTCTTCGGTGCTGCTGCTCGCAATCGGCGTAACAGCACTCGCCCCCCCCTCTCCAAAAGTTGGTGTGACATTACGTCTTTGTATAGATCGTGGGTGGACGACCTGCGGGTCCGAAGCCGCATGCGGCCTCTTCAAGGACTGCGCTTCGTGACCGTCATTTACCAAGGAGCGCAACTACCCGTCCTCGTAATCGCCACGCGGCTCTTGAAATATTGAGCTTCTTGCCGAAATTCGGAAGAAGAAAAAAACTCCGCCTCTTCTTGTTCATTTATCCCGGAGAATTAACACTGGGTCGTGGGACTCGTGTTCAGGAGGGTCCTGCCGGGGTTTCTCAGTAGGGGTGGCGACGATTGTTGCTGCTGCTGCTGCGTATAATTCGCAACGGGAGTCATTATTTCTGGTGTAATTGTTGTTATATTCTTGGTTCTTTCGGTAAAGTCACGTAGAAGGGAAATAATAAAATAATTTTAATAAAAAACAAAACAAAATTCTCACGACGTTTCGACTGCAACACAAGCAATCATCATCAGGTGCGAAATCCACAGCTGGATTTCACACCTGATGATGATTGCTTGTGTCACAGCTGGATTTCACACCTGATGATGATTGCTTGTGTTGCAGTCGAAACGTGGTGAGAATTTTATTGTTTTATATTTATTCTTATTTTATTATTTCCCTTCTACGTGACTTTACCGAAAGAACCAAGAATACGAATCCCTGCAGTCACGAAAGCTTTAAATCTAAATGTAATTGTTGTTGTTTGCAAATTTGCCAAATTTGGACCACGTGGCCGGCCGGCAAACAAAGGTCAACTTGTCCGCGTAACGGTCACGTGACCTGTAACGTCCAATGCGAGTCAAACAGAACCGGTCGAGGTGGGGTTATTTATTTAAGGTTAATACCGCAGTATGAGTTAAACAAATAAAATTAACTGAGCACACTGTCAACAACACTGGCCTCAGAATAAAATTATAATCGGCGACGTTTCGGGCAAAGGCCATTCATCACAGCATATATATTCGTCGCTGATTTTATATATTTTTTTATTTTATTTTAAGGCCACAGTATTGTTGACGAGTGTGTTGAGCCTCTTTTGTTGTTGTTGTTGTTGGCTGTGCTTGGGCACCCCTGCCAACGCAGCAGTAGCAGCATCAGCTTCGCCGATCGTGAGTATTAATCAGGGCGGCCCTCAGGTTTCCAACCGCGAACCTCTCTCTCTCTCTCTCGCTCGCAATCTCTTGTCGTGCAGCGAGACATCGCCTTCCATAAATCAGACCGCTGCCGAATAGAATTAATATATATTAAAAAAAACAGGAACTCGTTGTACCGAGAAAGGTAATCTTCTGAAATGAGAATAAATGTATGTTCCAAAACAGACTTAACAGATATGAACGTTTCGCCGAGACAACGCGGGTCGCTGTGACCCGCGTACCTTCCCCCAGGCACGCGCTCCAGTGACTCCTCTGGGCGGGGGTCGGGTTGGGGGGGGGCATCCAGGTGGATTGCAGCAGCAGGTAGACGCAAGTGGATTCTTAAAGCCATCTGTGCGGGTGTGTGCACCGGTGGGGTTTTCTCCCGTCGACCACACCGAGCCAAAATCACCAACCATGAAACAAACACCCCGGTGTAGCAGGACCCTCCTGAGAAAGCGCGTTCATGAGACTCGGAGAGTCAGTGCTGCCATCTCATTGCTTGCTACGTCTGTCTTCTTCTTCTTGGTTCTTTCGGTAAAGTCACGTAGAATGGAAACAATAAAAATAATAAAATAAAACATAATAAAATAATTCTCACGACGTTTCGGCCACAACGCAAGCAGCCGTCATCAAGTAAAGACCTGGTCTGTCGGGGAGACGGCGTCTGAAAATTTGCTACGCCTGGTTTACCCGTGCAGTCTCCTATCCCAAGTACGAACCGGGTCCTAACGCTGCTTATCTTTTGAGATCTGGTGCTTTGCGTCAAGCCCAACTTTTCAGCGGCGAGGGTTGAGTGCCTCT